AACGGGTAGTCGCATTACCTCGGGGATCTTTTCGTAACCCGAGGAAGGCGGAATCCCTTTTGCAACCCGCCGCAGACCGAATCCTGGTGCAATCCGCCGCAAGCAAATCCTTTCGCAATCCGCCTCGAAATGGATCCGGTTGCAAACCCACCACATAATGCATCTCTCTGACAGCCGCCACAGCAACACACGCCGGTCGGAAGAAGTAGGTAAAAACATGAAGTAGCAAGGCGGATTAAGTTGATTGGCTTCAGGCCTCCCCCAGAGAATAACAAAACACAGCAAAAGCGTGTCGATTCTTGAAGTAGGAAGGCGCTTGAGGTAGATTGGGATCTGGGAATCCAAAAATACCTACTTTCAACGACCAGCGTGTAATCCTGTTGCAACAGCCCGCCGCGAGAGGCGTCTTCTCTGTAATGCGCCACAGCGGGAAGTCCTTGTTCTAAACCGCCGCTCATAGTCAGATTTCCCAGGCCCGAGAAATACCAGGAGAGTACTGACACAGCAGACATACGGGACAGGTCGGCCATGAATGTTGCTGGTGCGCTGTGGTTTCACATGTTTGCGGTGCTTGCGGCGCCGTCGTCTCCGGCGAGGGGCCCGCGAGGTCACTTCTTCGACCGTGCCTCCGAGAGCAAACGTCCTCGGGATTGGTCGATCAGCTTCGTCGATTCAGGGCTTATCTGTTCCCGGCGCACAAACAGTCTTCTGCTGTAAAGACTTATGGTGCCATCGAGTTCGATTGGCTTGTGCAGAAGAAGCATCTTGAGACCAGGCCATCCCTGTGCTGCACAGGTGTTGCGCAGGTTCGAGGCTGCTGCTTCGATATGAGCACATGGACATAGCTGACAACCATATGGCTGGACAGCCAATTCACATTCTTTTGCTTCTGGCCAGCAGCAAGTAAGCACAATGAGCATACATGGTTGCCGTACTTCGATTTGAAGTCAAGGCGCCGCACATCCTCAATGTGGTTCTTCTTATCTATGGACACCCCCGCGCAGGAACATCCAGAGGACACGCCGACACCATCAGCAGCATCATCACTTCACTCTGATACACACACACACTAAATCACTCACACTCACATAGTCACCGTCATCACCATCACCGTCAGTATCATCATCAGCACACCAACACCAACACCATCACCAGTATCATCATCATCATCATCATCAGCATCATCATCATCACCAGTATCGCCATCCCATCATGACCATCGTCACCAGCACTACCATCATCACACCATCATCAGCAGCATCACGCACTGTCATTCACACTCACACGCTCACACATTCACCCTGGGAAAGTCTCGAGCGGGAGCCTCGCCTGCGACTGAATTGTGGGTGAGTCTCAGGCGGGAACTCCCTCCTTATGGGGCCGCCAGATTACGTTAGTAACCCGAGCGGGACATCCAAATCCTATAATTGTCGTCACTTTTGGGCTCCTGCGGTGTGGATCTGGATCTGAGGAACCTCGTCCGGGAGCGATCTGGGAGAGTCTCACGCAAAAGCCCCCTCCCTATGATGGGTCCGCCAGCAGATCATGTTACCAATCCGGGCGGGCCATCCAACTCCTGTAACGGTCGTCACTCTTGGGTTCCCAAGGCGTGGATCTGGAGAATGTCTCGAGCGGGAGCTTCATCTGTGAGTGAATACAGAGGAACGCTCGGGCGGGAACCCCCTCCCTATGAAGCGGGCCGCCAGACCATGTTAGGAATCCGAACGGGCCATACAACTCCTGTGCATTTTTGAACCCGTGAGGCGTGAATCTGGAAGAAGTCTCGAGCGGGAGCATCGTCTCTGAATGGATGGTGAGGAAGTCCCGGGCGGGAGCCCACTCCCTGTGATGGGGCCGCCTGGCTATGTTAATACTCTGAGCGGGCCATCGAGCTTTAGTATATGTGTTGTCACTTTGGGCTCCCAGGGCATGGATCCCGAGTATGTCTCAAGCGAGAACCTCTCGTGCGAGTTAGTTGTGCGAAAGTCTCAGGCAGGAGCTCCCCCCTTATGCTGAGGCCGCCAGGCCACGTTAGCGATCTGAACAGGTGATCAAACCCATGTATACCTCGTACCGTTCGGGCTCGTGAAGCGTGGACTTGTAGGAAGTCTCGAGAGGGAGCTTCGTCTGTGAGTAAGTTGTGGGGGGATCTCGAATGGGAGCAGACCTCTATGGGTATGCAAATCATGTTACTAATCTGAACGGATCACCTGAACGCTGTGATTCCCGTCCTCTTAGTAAGGCTCCTGCTGCGCGCACCTGGAAAAAGTCTCGAACGAGAACCTCGACTGTGACTGAGTTTTGAAGAAGTCTCAAGCGAGAGCCCCGTCCATATGGGGCCGCCAGGTTCTGTTAGCAACCCAAGCGGGTCATCCAAATCTGGTAGTTGTCGTCACTATTTGGTTTGTGAGCGTGAACCTGGATGAACTCTCGGGCGGGAGCCTGGTCTGTGGGTGAACTGTGAGGAACTCAGAAGCGGCACCCCCAACCCATGGGGCCGCTCGAACATGCTAGCAATCCGAGCGGATAGTGCGCATGCTTTCGCTTTAGTCACGTTTGGGCTCCTAAAGCATGGGCCAGGGGAAAGTGTCGAGCGGGAGCCTCATGTGTGGGTGCGGTGTGGGAAATCTTGAACGGGAGACCCCCTCCCTATGAGACCGCCGGGTCATTATTTCATTCCGCACGGATCATCCAAAGCTGTGGCTGTCATCACCTTTCGGCGTGCGATGCGTAGATCTGGAGGAAGTCTCAAACGGGAACCCCCCTTTTGAATGAATGATGCGGAAGTCTATGGCGGGAGCCGACCTCCCTACAGGATCTGCAGATCACGTTGTTAATGTGAAGAAGGGTCATCTGAACCCTGAAACTGGTTTCGCGTTTAAGCTCTTGACGCGTGGACATGAGGAAGTCTCGAGTGGACCCCACGTCTGTGAACGACTTGTGTGGAAGTCTCACGCGGGAGCCCCTTCCTTATGGGGCCACCAGTTTAAGTTCGTAGTCCGAGCGGGCGTCCAAAGCCTTTTCTGTTCGTCTTTCTTTGGGCCCGTGAGGCGCGGATCTGGAGGAAGTCTCGGCGGGAGCCTGGTCTCGGAGTGCCTGGTGAGGAAACGTTGACCGGGAACCCACCTCGCTATGGGGTCCGCAGATCGTGTTATAATCCGAGCGGGTCGTCTGGACCTTGTAACTGTCGTCACTGTCGGGCTTTTGCGATCGTGCCATCGGAGAACGCGCCCTTGCCGACCGAAGCGGCGACGGCGTCGAGGAACAGCTATGTGCGCGCCCTTCCAATAGGAATGGAAGGGGGTGGCCCAAGGGGGGGGGACGGCAGAAGGGCGAGGAGGAGGCAACGCAGAGGGCGGGAGGCGGCCCTGTGCCAGGGATGAACAAAGATAATGGTGCAAAGGGGGCAGGGCGAGAGCCTCTGCAACCACAGGAGCAACGAAAAGATGATCTCCCGACTGGCCGAACACATTTCCATGTGGGGTCCTGCCGTTGGACTGTGTTTGTTGTTGATTGGTGTAGATTTGGATGTTCGGTCGGGCTGGAAACCAGGGTTCTGCTTCGCACGGGCGTGTAACAAAGAAGAACAAAGAGAGAGAGAGAGAATGATACGGCAAGCTCACAGGGAATATCACCGGTAACGCGCATGGTAAGGCCAAGAGGTAAAGACGATCTACCCACATCGTTAAACAAAGCCCCAGTTCACCCTTGCGGAGGAGAGGGTGGGGAGGAGGTCTCCGGGGGACTCCTGGGGGTCTGCGGATGCACCTGGAGGCCCCTGGAGGTCTCAGGAAGTATCTGGACGTCCAGGGTGCCCAACACGTCCAAACATCTTGACTCCCCTTCCACCTCCGTTCTCCCTTCCCCTTGTCCTCCTACTCCTTCGCCTTCTCTTTCCCCCTCCTGTATAAAGAACCCCTCCCTGTCGCACACCGAGACGGGTCGGTAATTAGGGCGGGCCGGGTGTTCCGTCTCAGCCTTCCTTTCAGAATGCGGCTCTCGCCTTCTGGTTGGTTCCAGAAGCGGTGTCTTGGCACCATTTAGGATTGCCAGAGCGCGACAATACTGTTGATTCGCAGTGTTGACGTCCCAGACATGATGTTCGGGCACGGTGTAAGATCTTACTTTGCGGCATTGAAGTCCCAGGAATTGTGCTTTGGCGCGGTTGAGAAATGTCAGACCCTTGTCTTCCAACGGGGCTCTTCCCGCAGAGCAAATAAACTCTTACAGGGGCCTACGCAGAGGGATCTTGGAGGGAGGGTTCGTTACCACATGGTTGACGGGTCCTGGGTTTGCACTTGTCCTCGTCCTCTCCTCTTAATCCTTCTGCTCCTCCTCCTCCTCCTCCTCCAGCTCCTCCTCATCATCCGTCTCCTCATTCTCCGCCTCCCCCCCCTCCTCCTCCTCCTCCTCCTCCTCTTCCTCCTCCTCCTCCTCCTCCTCTTCCTCCTCCCTCTCCTCCTCCTCCTCCTCCTCCTCCTCTCCTTCCTGTTCCTCCTCCTCGTCCCTCCTCCTCCTCTTCCTCCCTTTCCCTTCCCCCCGACTCCAACACCCACTTTGCCATTGCATCTCCCCCTACTCCTCATTGCCTCTTCATCCCCGTCCTCGTTCCTGCTTCTCCTCGTCCCCCTCCTGGTCCTCCTCGTTTTGCGCATCCTCGTCCTTGTCGCTGTCCCCCATGTTCTCCTTATAATAAGACGCCTCCTCATCCTCCTCTGCGTCCTCTCGCTCCTCCTCCTCCTCCTCCTCCCACTCATCGGCACTTCTCTCCTATTCATTCCTTGCCACCGTGTCGCCCGCCCTCGCGTCGCCGTCGTCGTCGTCGTCTTTCTCCTCATCCTTCTCTCCTCACCGTGGACCACCTCCCTCTCCTCCTGCGCCTCACCGCGCTCTGCTCGTCGCCGCCGTCGTCCCTCTTCTGGTGCCCCTCCCCGGGGTCGGCGGCGGCGACGGCGTGCGACGAGGGCAACGACGACGACCGCGATGGCGACGGCTGCCAC